AAATCCTCTCTGTCTTTGCTATCATCATCTTTGTCATTATCATTAACATTTTACCACTTAGTGAGGCAACCTCTGGTAGAATCTTCCAGAGGGTTTCATTTTCACGTAATAAAAGCAGGGATATAGTTCACTTCAAAATGTTTTGTTTTGTTTTGTTTTTCAAGAAATGTTGCCTGTTGAGTTCTCCAGAATGCAGGTCTGACATCACTGCTATTGGGAAGTCTGCCAGAAATCTGTGCCGACGTATGTGGTGCTGGTGTGCATGGCAGGACTGACAGAACAGAATTGCATGTATGCCACTGACCCCACAGGGAGTGTTGCCTTGGGCGTGAGTGATCAGACCTGTAGCCAGCCTCTGGATGTGGGTACCCCAGTAGAGGCACGTCTTCAGCAAGGGTGTGAGTTGTTCCTGAAGGGTGGGCAGCCGCTGGATATCCATTCACAGCATTTGGGGCAGTAAGTCCTTCTTTGAAGAGGCATCTGAGAGACTCATGACTCTCCAATAGGAGTTTGATTGTCAGGCTCAGAGCCAGTGTTCTTTGTGCTGTTTCAAAATCCCCATGCCTCTGTGTCCTGTACTTCTGTGTAATGGGCTCTCGTTGCTAGAGGGCAGTGTTGCACTTCTCTACAGCTTTGCATCGCGAGTACTTAAAACAGTGCCAACCACGTGGTAGCTGCTCAAGAAATGTTGCTGTAGAAACAAATGAGGTTAACAGGGTGAAGGACTTAAAATTGTGGAAGGGAATGATGCAGGTCTGCACATCTTTTATGGGATTTACTATGTGGTAATGAGCAAACAGAAGAGAGGAGGAATAAGGGCTTAGCTAGTAAACCTGTTGTCTAACATGCTGACATGATGCTGGCATCCCATATGGATGCCAGTTCAAATCCTGGTTGCTTTACTTCCAATCCAGCTCCCTGCTAATGCACTTGGGAAAAGATGGCCCAAGTGCTAGGTTCCTACTTCCACATGGGAGACTTAGACTAAACTTTGGCTGTTGGTTTTATGCTGGCCCAACCCTGGCCATTGTTGCTATTTAGGGAGTGGGCCAATGAAAATATCTCTGTCTCTCCCTCCCTCTGAAACTGTGCCTTTCAAATAAATAAAATCCATCTTAAAAGGATCCAATTTATGGATTTAAAATTAACTTGAAATATTTGAGCTCAGTGTGTAGATACATTTTGTTTAATGATCAGCTGATGAGGAATCAGGAAGTGCCTTGAAATTACCCATAATTCTAATCACTAAAATTTTAAAATACATATCAAAAGTTATACTTTCATATCTTCAAAAGGAGGGCATCAAAGAAACAGGGATCTTTACTATGGTGCTTTTAAATTTATTTTGCAGGTTTTTTTTTTTTTTGAGTGTAGTTCCCTTATGGAAAATCTACTTTTAAGAATATTAATATATTTGAAAATGTATTCAGACTTTGCTTCTGATTGTGAAGTCTGAGCTGGTCTCTTACTCATGCAGGGCAGGAAATCCAGTCTTTAGAAATTTGACTGTCAATATTATGCGTGTTTTGTTTAAAATCTTCTGAAAAAATTGCAAATGTTCACATCAAAAGAAGCTTTGTTTTTCAGATCTTGCCTAGAAGGATCTTATGAAACACATCAGGATATTATCCCTTCTGTTTTGAAAAAAAAAGGAAGGGATAATTTTTTTTTCTGGTTAGAAGTTTTAAATTTTGTGATATTTATACAAAACTGTCTTTGCCTCAAAGGTAATTTGATGTTTTGAAAGAGGTATTCTATTTTCAGGGCTAAATAGGGCTGCTAGAAGTTTTACCTAATTCATTTCCTGTAGGATTTGAAGAGATACCAGCTCTATGCTTCTGAAAGACCTTTAGCAATGATGAAGGTCTCTCAGATTGTGGTATTGTTTCAGATATTAGAGATACACATTCATACAGATACACACTTCACTGTCTTTATACCTCTCTACTGCTTTGGGTTTATAGTGATTCATGGTTTATTCATTAAAAGTGCGAGAGAATTTTTACTTAAATTAGTCAAGCTTCTAGCTCAAGGCCAGTATGGTGTTCAGACACTACAGGTGTTAACATCTGAGGATTCTGCACTCTCACCAGTGTTATGTAACCTTGGTAGTGTCTGAGAATTAGCTTAGCAACTTCAGAGAGTGTCTAAAGTCTCCTTTAGTCTTTGCATCCTCAGTGGAACGCCAGGTTTGATCCCTCTGGCATTCTTCAGTGACAGTTAGACACCGTGTTGGGTCTCAGGTCATGTCTGAAGCCCTGGATGACTCTCAAAGCATGCGCTTTTACCCAAGGAAAATAAAGATTTATGGCTGTAGAATTCTTTTTATCGTGAACTCTCTGTGCAAAAGTCTTCAATAGCTACTTCTAAATTTAAAGACAAAGCTGATCCTTTTAAAGCATATAAATGAAACAGAATGTAACTTAGTTAAGCTTTGCTCCCTTTATTGGCAGATTCTCTAGCTGGTTAATCTAAGTAGAGGATGCATTGATTTATTCCCTCTGGTGATGGGTTAACCTAATTACCTGTAAATTTCTCTAAATCCTAAATTTAATGATTTCATTTATTATGATTATAGAAAAAAGTATTTCTCAAAGGGTAAATAAGATGTCTAGTATGGTTTTTGGTAATTAGGTTACTGGTTTACATACACCAGAAAAAAATAATTACAGCTAAGGAATAGTGAGATATGAGAGCAAACAAGCAGTTTCTAAATTATTGAGTTTAATTTTTATTAGCAAATCTGCCTCATTTCATTTCCTAGAAAATTAGATGTTTAAAAATGACATTTTTTCCTCGTTACAAATCAAGGTCTTTGATGGGAAACAAAAAGAAACCTACATAATTTAAACAACACGTTTGTTAAAAGAGCCAGTGGTGGCTCACTGAATTGCCCAGGTATAGGAAACAAGTGGAAAAGCAGAGACTGAAGTCATGGCCAAGAATGTGCTGAACAGTCAACCACGTACATCTCTGAACGTGCGGTTCATTGCTCTGCTGACCTCTGTTCAGTGACCCTTGCTGCCACCTTGCTGGGCTCCTGAAACCACCCCCAAATGCTCTGCCACTGTGAATAAGCTTTGTCTCCATGCCTGTGGCCAGTTCTTCCACAATTTAGAAGCATTGATTGCTGTCCACTGCATCACAAGTGCACCATGACAAGTAAGCAGGCAGGAGGGAAGGATTCAGAACTTAGAGCTTATCCTTCGCTGTATCTTAGGTTCCCATGGTGAGATTTCCCAAACTGGGCATTGTGTTTCCAGGTTGTGCCAATATTGAGAAATGTCCACTAGACTGAGATCCTCTCCTGGAATCATGTCTTTCCACAGCACATACAGGAACAATAACACAACGCAAATGCTATGAGATTCATGCCCTCCATGCTCAATTCTGGTGTCAGTAATGGCCCTTGGAATCTATTGGAAATGACAGCATCAGAAGAGTGTTGACACAGGCCATGATTATGGGGGATGAAAGCTTCAGTGTTTCTTTTTGCTGTGATTAAGTCCCATAGAGGGTCAGTCATCTAGGATGACTGTGCCGTCTCAGTTATATTTCTCTGGCTGTTACTAATCCGGATTCTTCATCTTCTTTTTTGGGGGGGTGGTGTGTAGAATTGCCTTTATTAAAGGGAGGTATATTAAAATAGGAAAAGCTAAAATTCATGTTTAGTGAGTGTACTTTTTATTGACCGTAGAGGTAAAATCTTAGGCATCAAGGTCAAAATGTAGACTCACCTCTTATTCTAATTTTTGTTCATTTAACAACAAATGTTTACAGAATGTCTTCTCTATGTATAGAGACCTGTTAAAAGGTTTATTGTTTTCATTTCCATATATAGACTCTTATTGTTATGGTCATTCACTGGCTTTTACTCTGATTTTATCTTTTTTTTTCCACTTTGAATATTTTTGGATAAAACAGCGAAAACACAATAGTAACTATAGATTATCAAAATTACAAATGATCTATAGGAATAAAAGTGTCAGTGGCTATTTACTAAAGATATTGAGTTTGGTACCATGGGGATATAAAGATGAAGAAAATCCAATCCTAAACTGAAAACATGGTCTTTGAAATCATTTTATTGATTATGGGACACAGACAGTTGAGAGCCATCCTAATCTGTTACATGCTTTTTATGAAAATCAACATATAATAGGCCAGAAGGATTTTTTTTTTCCTGTACTTTGATGATTGGTAAAATTCTTTTTCACAGGGGTAACTTTCCCTAAGTAAAGTAATCAAGACACATGATTTGCTAATTGATGCACAGGGAAATGCCTTAATGAATTAGTGAAGCAGTTGGCTCAGGTGTATGTCTCCCAGGGACAGAATACAGAATTACAGTTTAGCAATTAGACTGTCAGTATTCCTTACCCAGTTGACCATAATTAAAATAATTTTATTCTTGGTTTGGTACTGGGAATTGAAACTCACACCTCAGTTACCTGGTAAAAGATATTCAAGGCTAATGGTATAAGATATGTAGGTTTTAAAATGCTAACTGTGTCCTTCTAAATATAGAATTCCTCAATCATTCATGTCTGATTAAAGTTGAATTTGACTAATTGATAATGGCTCTTCAATTAGGTAAAAGCATATTTTATTTAGAAATTACATTTATTTACATCGATTTTTCTCCTTTTCAAGATGTTTGGGTTTCTGTATCCAGTTTGACCCAACTGCCAGAACTTAGAGGAGGCAATTACAAGGTTAACTGACAGTCATTCCCCAAATACAGGTCGATAAAATGCATCCTTTGGAGAACTGTACTGGATAAAGTATTAGTTATAAAGAATATGCATGAAACTTCCGTAGTTCACATAAGGGCTTCCATGGAGGCGTTTAACTGGGTGTGAACAAGGAAAATGAAAGCTGACAGCTTGTGAGATCATGATCTCGCCTGACTGTGGTGGGCACAAGAATTTCTCCAGGTGGGAAAACTTATTGAAGTGACATTCATTTCAACTACTTTTCTTTTCTGCCTGTCATTGCAGAAGTAAGGCCAGGCTGTGCTGAATGAAGTCGGGCAGAATGATGGGCTGTGGCTGTCTCCTGCCGCCTGCTTGCTGAGAACTGGAATAGACACAGCCCTCAGTTCCTTCGGAGGCCTGGGGAGGAGACAGAGCTGTTCTGTTGTTAGCCCTGCCAGACCACTGCAGGGATGCCACGGCCCCTGAGCAATCAGTGGCTTCAGTTGCGAAGACCGCACCATGAGGCGGATGCTGACTCCTCATCAATCCAGCTGAGGTTTGTAGAAGCCTGTTGAGCAGAGCATACCTTCTGTGGTCTCTAAGCTCAGCTTCGGGGGAGTCTATTGTACAAAATCCGACTTTGGGGTCTGTAGGATTTCCTAGGAGACAAGGTGGTCTTGGAGGAAATCCCAAAGGTCCTATTTTCAGCACAATCAGGCACTATAGAGATAAGCTTATGTGGAAGAGTCCAGATCAGTCCTGTCTGACTCCTGACTTGTCTTTTAGTTTGGTCTTACTTTTCCCATTTCTAGTCCACAGTCACAATTTGTCATACAGTTTATATCATATTCCCTTTTTAAAAACAGGATTTATTTTATTTTATTTATGTGAAAGGTAGAATGACAGAGATGGGCAGAAAGAGAAAGCAATCCACTGGTTCACTCCTCAAGAGGCCTGAACAGCTGGCGCTGGGGCCGGCCAAAGCCAGGAGCCAGGAACTCCATGCGGGTCTTCCATTTGGGTGGCAGGGACCCCAGTCACTTGGACCATATGCTGCTGTTTTCCTGTGTGAAGCAGCAGGGAGCTGGAGCAGAAGCACAACAGGGAGCACTCCAACTGGACTGACAGGCATTGCAAGTGGGGCTTTAATGCACTGTATCACAATGCCAGCCCCATATCTACTTCTTGTGCCGTATGTGGACTGTACATTGCATTTTTGGTTTTTAACACTGACAGTCACTGCCTGTAATGTCAATCCTTTTTCCAAACTGGGGCCTTGTTCTTGTCCTAGAGCTGTCGGCATGGCTGTCTCCATGGTTCTGCTCATACTGTCAGCATCTTGAATGGCTCTGCTTTCTCTTCAACCACTGCAAAGCCTTCTGATCCTCCAACAGCTAAACCAAGTGCCAGCAATCCCGAGGAGTAGATGTTAGCTTATATTGTTTGTTTTTCTTTCCCTTTAGATTCTTTTACCAAGAGAAAACCCTCTCTCTATGCAATGAATGATGAGAATGCATCACAATTGGCTTATTGATTGGTCTGGAAAGATAGGATGCAGACACGAAACTGCTTTATTTCTCTTCCATCGCTGCTCTCACGTGCTTTCTGTCAGGTTATCCTTTCCTATTTACCTGGTGATACCTTGAACAGGTTCTAGATCTTTAAATACTGGTGAATTCAGCCAGTTGAAGACCTTCTTCTTATGCACTAAAATCCTGTTGGAATGAAAATATTTATTTTTGCTAAATTGGAAACATTTTCCTCCCTCTCCTTCAACACAGAATCAGTGATGGCTCTGGAAAAAGTCATGAGTGAGGTGGAGTATGGTCCTTCCATTTTCCTTGATTTACCTTCCCTCTTGGCTTTTTGGCCCCATTGAGGTTGGAGCTAGAAGTATCAGGGCAAAAGGACTACTGGTTGTTTTATTTCACTGGTGCTCCCTTGTAGCTTTCCTTTGGCGGTTGGGTTTCTTATGTCATGCCAGGTGACCAGATGCTGCCTTTCCCTTGGGGTGCTTTTGTTGAACATTTTGACGTGATTAATGCCATCTTGGGCTGGCTATTCTGTTGGTTTCATCTTCCTCAATTCCTGCCTTAGAAGCATAGCTATCATTTTCTTTTCTCTATCAGTATGTTCTGTTGGACAAAATCTCTCAAAGAAATCTCAGGATAACCCTCTATCCACTTGAACTATGGGAAGCCTCTGCATCTTTGTTAAATGACATCAGTAGCAAAAGCCACAGGCAATGCCACTGTGTCATGGGTAATTGCATCCCTCTGCCTGCCTTTGAATCCTGCCCCAGAGGTAGACACTGGCTTTCTTCATACTTTCTACAATCCTGAGCCAGTGAAGCTCCCAGTATCTTGTACCCAGCAACACCAACATGACCCAGGGGAATCTACACTTTTCCATAAACTGGAAGAAGTTGAGAGCCTGAGGCAACCTTCTCGTAAATCTTCTTCCCTATTCCATACAAAGGATTATTTGGAATCTTTGCTCTTGAACTACGGCTGGAGAAGGAGACTCCTCCCCTCTATCATGGATACTTAGCATATTTCTATAGAAAAATGAAGGCTTGTTTTTTAATCCACTGTCTTGTTCTGAAGTTTTAATGATACAATCTCTCAGGCAAAGACCTTTTTGCCACTCTATTGCCGAAGAAGGGGATTCTTGCAAGAGTTTCGCCTGGCAGCTTTCTTCAAGGGGATGAAAACCACACTGGAAACAAATGACTGGCACCTGGTCAAATGCATCCTTGTTTCCCATCCTATGGGGCTCACATGAGAAAGATCAGAGACAGAAAGAAAACAAGGAGGCAGAAGGCTGCTGCAGCTGAGTGGAGTCTGAAGGCAGGTTGCATCCCCCCGTATGTCCGACCCTTTCTGGAATGCTATTGGGTGATGAGAAAGATGCCTTCTTTGGTTTCCCTGCTAAACGCTTTCTGGTATCCACTGACAGCAATATTTTCAGCATGACAAATGGTTGTAATTTCTCCCTTAAATTACAGTTTTCTACAAACTGTCAACACAAGGTCTTCAGAATTATTGAGAAGAGAAAATATTGGGCACTTTAACTTAAAAATTTTGACTTACTGAAAACTGGAATATGGGTGCAATGGACATTTATTATTCTGACAGCCCCCACGAACACATTCACACACACATAGATGCACACACACACACACACACACACACACACACACACACACTCATAACATGGTTGCTCTATGAGGCCGTTGATCACTGTTCCTTTCCCTACCCTGGCCAGCAGTGACGGAGGCCGGAGCAGCCAGCCTGGGACACAGAAGGTCCTTCTTTGATTTTTTTCCCTAGAAGGGTCTCACGGAGGGCACAGTTTTTCTTTCTGATCTCAGAGGTCTGTAAGTTAGTGAGACAGCCCCACTTGCGATCATTGTCTCCTATCTAGTAGAAATACGTGGCTAGGACAGAGGAAGCCACTCAGCAGAAGCAGAGATGAGACAGAAGTGTGTCTCTGGTTGAGGTTCAAGACTCAGGTTCAGCTGTTTCAGAAGCACAGCTCTCATCTCTCTTGCTGCGAGATTGCGTAAGCCCAGTGTTCCCCGGCCACTTAGGCTGAGTATGAATTAGTGACAACAGAAGCAGTCAACCTCCCACGGACTAACTCTGAATCAGCTCCACTCTGCAACTGGTAGCTCTGGAGAGTAAATACACACCTGCACGATCACACAACTGGGTAGCTTAGCAACTGCACAGTTGGAATGTCTATTTTATCAGACACAGACCATTAAACCGGAGTCTGTCCTGAAGTTAACAAAATGTGTTAAACTAGGAGAAACGTAGAAGCTCCTAAAGCATTAGATCCAAGTTGTGTTATTTTGCATGCTGGTACAACATTGAATGCTAATTGATGGAACCACATATAATTAAACTCTGCTTAGCATCCTTGATCAACTTTGTAAGTTATCAGTTCTTCATAATCACCACACATTGTTCTCTGGAAAAAAGCATATTCTAATTATATTGATTTTACATTATAGACCAATAGTTGTTTGTGGGGAGAAAGTAGAGTCAGACAGACTTAGTGGTGAATCTCAGGTTTGCTACTTACTTGTGTCTTACTGCAAAATCCAAGATGCAGAGAAATAAATTCCCCAACATCAGAAGTCTGGTGAGTGGCTACATGGTTCTCTTGCAGCACCAACTGCCCACACTGAATCTATTCTCAGGGCAAAGTACAAGGCTCACGGTGGTCTTTATGCTGGCTGCTCTGACAATGGTTTATACACTGGCTGGCTTATCTTGTATTTCTGGCTGAAGTGTGAGATGAGGGTGCTAGAAGATTGGGTTCTGATGAAGGACTTCTTCCCAGTTGCAGACTTTGGACTTTCCTGTTGCGCCCGTACATTGTCACAGAGAGAGAGCTTTGGCCTCTTCATTCTCACAATTGTGGTACTCATCTCTTCTTTCTGAGGCTCTTCCTCTTGCAGTATTGTCTGGCCCAGACAATATTGCAAGTATTGCAGATAATATTGCCCAGTATTGTTTTGGTAGATTCATCTCCAGCAGCTTGTGCCAGCATCAGCTACATATTTGGACGGATCTGTTGGTTATGATTGCTTGTGTTTCTGCTTGTGTTTCTCTCACAGAATGAGAGAGCAGAGACAAGCCATGCTCATTGCTGTGCTAAGGTTCTTCAGGATTGTACATGAACTTCAGCCTTCACAACTTCATGGCGGGTGTCCATTGTTTACAAAGGCTTTGATTCTATATCATGCTTCCATTCACATCTGCTTCACAAGCCAGCCATTACTTTCCATGTATCTCCCAAAACTACCCTTGGTAATCCTCGGATCTATGTTTTTTTCTGCCTCTGTGTCCTGTGTAACGGAGAACAACAGGGGACCTTCTTCAAGAGACCGCTGTTAGATAAGGATTTAGTCCATACCTTTATATAATGCCACAGTGGGGGTTCTTGGTGGATTTATAGTCATGGTTTATTTTGTCATCCTGCAAGTTCATTCAGTCTGTATGCTTTTCATTTTTATTTTCAGTGTGCATTGCTTTTAATTTGCAAAAACAAAGATCTTGACCTCATGTCAGTGCTTTCTTTCAAAATCATTTACCTTTGTTCCAGCAGGTGGCAGTATAACACAAGCACAAGCATGAGCAGCCTGCTGAGTATTTTAGTATTACTTCAATCTTAGAGTAGTAAGAGTCCTGTTCTGAATTATGTTTCTACCACAATTCTAAATTAAAAATAGGATCTCTGTAATGATTAGATTGATAATCATCTTTTTTTTTTTTTACTACTGGTGATGTTGTGTATTAGGAAAGTTTAGCCTTAGTTGTTAGGTGTTTAAGGATTTCTTTATGCCTGACATCTTAAGCTATTTTAATATGTGTACTTGTATTGCTATATTTTAAAATTTAATTTTGATACAGTTATCAGGGCTATAATGTGACATCAGTTGAAAAAAGTAGCCTTTCTGTGTAGTTTGTTTGGGTATGTGTAGATCCTAGAAACGGGTGTATTTGTGGGAGCATTGTCTATCAGAGAGTTTTTTTGGCCTTCTAG